AGGTAGTCAGTGCCCCAGTCATGGGTAGGCAGTCAGTCCCACAGTCATGATAGTAGTCAGTCCCTCAGTCATGATAGGCAGTCAGTCCCACAGTCATGATAGGCAGTCAGTCCCCAGTCATGATAGGCAAAATCAGTCCCACAGTCATGATAGGTAGTCAGTCCCTCAGTCATGATAGGCAGTCAGTCCCACAGTCATGATAGGCAGTCAGTCCCTCAGTCATGATAGGCAGTCAGTCCCACAGTCATGATAGGCAGTCAGTCCCACAGTCATGATAGGCAGTCAGTCCCACAGTCATGATAGGTAGTCAGTCCCACAGTCATGATAGGCAGTCAGTCCCTCAGTCATGATAGGCAGTCAGTCCCTCAGTCATGATAGGCAGTCAGTCCCACAGTCATGATAGGCAGTCAGTCCCACAGTCATGATAGGCAGTCAGTCCCTCAGTCATGATAGGCAGTCAGTCCCTCAGTCATGATAGGCAGTCAGTCCCTCAGTCATGATAGGCAGTCAGTCCCACAGTCATGATAGGCAGTCAGTCCCACAGTCATGATAGGTAGTCAGTCCCTCAGTCATGATAGGCAGTCAGTCCCACAGTCATGATAGGCAGTCAGTCCCACAGTCATGATAGGCAGTCACTCCCTCAGTCATGATAGGCAGTCACTCCCTCAGTCATGATAGGCATGTTTTCCAAAAAAAACAGATCCTCTGATATTGTTCATATTATCCAGGGTAGCAGTGTTTGTTATCCAGCCATTGTAACACTGTCCTTGTTAGCCAGGTCATCATGTGCTTGCAGTGCACGAGTGACAGAGAGCTTACTCAGCTATGGATGTAAGGTGGTAATGAAGCACAGAGCTGTGAAAAGCTAAGAGGCTCTCAAAGAGGTCATCAGCCTCTTGGGGGGTGAGCTAAGATGCTTCTCTCTGGCCTAGAGACAAGCACACTTCATCTCGTGAGACACAGGCGTGGCAGAGAGAGAGAGAGAGAGAGAGAGAGAGAGAGAGAGAGAGAGAGAGAGAGAGGATAAAAGAAGAGGAATAAGGGGAAGTGTCAGAGTGTGGAAGATATATTTAAAAGATATTTTTACATTAAACTGACACGATGACTACACGATATCACGTCCCTCTCTTTGAGAGGGAACTGAGAGGGAACTGAGGGGGAACTGAGGGGAAACAAGAGAGAGGATACAGCAACAACGAGAAAAGTTAAAGAGAATTCTCTTCTTTAATAAAACTGATATATTAGCAGTGTGTTGCAACCCTCGTCTCTACAACACTTAACTGTCAACAAAACTAGTTTCTCTATAGCAGGCTCCATCACATAACATGCTCCATCACATAACATGCTCCATCACATAACATGCTCCATCACATAGCAGGTTCCATCACATAGCAGACTACATCACACAGGAGGTTCCATCACGTAGCAGACTATATCACATAGCATGCTCCATCACATAACATGCTCCATCACATAGCAGGTTCCATCACATAACATGCTCCATCACATAACATGCTCCATCACACAGGAGGTTCCATCACATAGCAGACTACATCACACAGCAGGTTCCATCACATAGCATGCTCCATCACATAACATGCTACATCACATAGCAGGTTCCATCACATAACATGCTCCATCACATAACATGCTACATCACATAGGTTCCATCACATAACATGCTCCATCACATAGGTTCCATCACATAACATGCTCCATCACATAACATGCTCCATCACATAGACTACATCACACAGGAGGTTCCATCACACAGCAGACTACATCACACAGCAGGTTCCATCACATAGCATGCTCCATCACATAACATGGTCCATCACATAACATGCTCCATCACATAACATGCTCCATCACATAGCAGACTACATCACACAGGAGGTTCCATCACATAGCAGACTACATCACACAGCAGGTTCCATCACATAACATGCTCCATCACATAGCAGGTTCCATCACGTAACATGCTCCATCACATAACATGCTCCATCACATAGCAGGTTCCATCACATAACATGCTCCATCACATAGCAGGTTCCATCACATAACATGTTCCATCACATAGCAGGTTCCATAACATAACATGCTCCATCACATAGCAGGTTCCATCACATAACATGCTCCATCACATAGCAGGTTCCATCACAGACTACATCACACAGAAGGTTCCATCACATAACATGCTCCATCACATAGCATGCTCCATCACAAAGCATGCTCCTTCACATAGCATGCTCCATCACAAAGCAGGTTCCATCACACAGCATGCTTCATCACATAGCATGCTCCATCACATAGCATGCTCCATCACAGACATCACATAGCAGGTTCCATCACATAACATTCTCCACCACATAGCAGGTTCCATCACATAGCAGGTTCCATCACATAACATTCTCCACCACATAGCAGGTTCCATCACATAGCAGGTTCCATCACATAGCATGCTCCATCACATAGCATGCTCCATCACATATGCTCGATCACATGCTCCATCACATAGTATGCTCCATCACATAGTAGGTTCCATCACATAGGATCCATCACATAACATGCTCCATCACATAACATGGTCCATCACATAGAATGCTCCATCACACAGCATGCTCCATCACATATGCTCGATCACATATGCTCCATCACATATCATGGTCCATCACATAGCATGCTCCATCACATAGCATCCATCACATAACATGGTCCATCACATAGCATGCTCCATCACATAACATGCTCCACCACATAGCAAGTTCCATCACATAGCAGGTTCCATCACATAACATGCTCCATCACATAACATGCTCCATCACATATGCTCGATCACATATGCTCCACACAGCATGCTCCATCACATATCATGGTCCATCACATTGCATGCTCCACATAACATGGTCCATCACATAGCATACTCCACATAACATGGCCCATCACATAGCTTCCTCCATCACATAACATGGTCCACCACATAGCATGCTCCATCACGTAACATGCTCCATCACATAGCAGGTTCCATCACATAGGATGCTCCATCAGTTTTTAGTCTACTGTGCACCTCATATCCATCCTGTGGATGGTAGTGGCTAGTTTATTGTGTACCTCATATCCATCCTGAGGATGGTAGTGGCTAGTTTATTGTGCACCTCATATCCATCCTCTGGATGGTAGCGCAAGAGCATATGGATACAGAAGAGGCCTAGGAACTAGGTTGCAAAAGAGTTAACAGGAATACAAAACAGGGAATGCCTTAAACTAGAAATCTGGAGACAGAGAGTATACACATGGAAGATACTGGAGAGACTAGTCCCAAACTTACTACCTTAACAATGTACTTGAGTAAGAGATACGGGATAAACTGTACAACAGACCTAGTGAAAAGCGGGGGAGCCAAAGACACAAGAGAGAACACTATATCAACATCCCTATCAGCACGATCACTACTTCCGTGGGGTGCCAGAGCAACCAGGCTGCGATGGGTGTGCGAGCTGGCGGGCCATCAACAGCAACAGGCTAGTTGACAAAGCAATCAAGGGAGGCCAGGCCCAGGGCCGCACCCTTGAGAGGCCAAGACTTCAATGAGGTCTTGACCTTGAAGTCTGTTTTACCTAAGACTGCGGGAAAGGTAAGATGCTCAAACTTACTCTCAAGGTGTTAGTCTAAGATGTGTTATCTGTGCCTTATCAACAGGATGCTGGGCAGAGGTGTTGTGCGCTCGCTCGCTCTCTCTCTCTCATGAGAGAGTGCAACTATCATTTAGACCAGTGCGGCAACACACTGCAGCTGTTCCCACAATGTAACTATCATACAGAATAGTGTAGCAACACTGTTGGTGTTGCCACAATGTAACTGTCATACAGAATAGTGTAGCAACACTGCTGGTGTTCCCACAATGTAACTATCATATAGAATAGTGTAGCAACACTGCTGGTGTTCCCACAATGTAACTATCATACAGAATAGTGTAGCAACACTGCTGGTGTTCCCACAATGTAACTATCATATAGAATAGTGTAGCAACACTGCTGGTGTTCCCACAATGTAACTATAATGTAGAATAGTGTAGCAACACTGCTGGTGTTCCCACAATGTAACTATCATATAGAATAGTGTAGCAACACTGCTGGTGTTCCCACAATTTAACTATCATATAGAATAGTGTAGCAACACTGCTGGTGTTCCCACAATGTAACTATCATACAGAATAGTGTAGCAATACTGCTGGTGTTCCCACAATGTAACTATCATATAGAATAGTGTAGCAACACTGCTGGTGTTCCCACAATGTAACTATCATATAGAATAGTGTAGCAACACTGCTGGTGTTCCCACAATGTAACTATCATATAGAATAGTGTAGCAACACTGCTGGTGTTCCCACAATGTAACTATCATATAGAATAGTGTAGCAACACTGCTGGTGTTCCCACAATGTAACTATCATACAGAATAGTGTAGCAATACTGCTGGTGTTCCCACAATGTAACTATCATATAGAATAGTGTAGCAACACTGCTGGTGTTCCCACAATGTAACTATCATATAGAATAGGTGTAGCAACACTGCTGGTGTTCCCACAATGTAACTATCATATAGAATAGTGTAGCAACACTGCTGGTGTTCCCACAATGTAACTATCATATAGAATAGTGTAGCAACACTGCTGGTGTTCCCACAATGTAACTATCATACAGAATAGTGTAGCAACACTGCTGGTGTTCCCACAATGTAACTATCATATAGAATAGTGTAGCAACACTGCTGGTGTTCCCACAATGTAACTATCATATAGAATAGTGTAGCAACACTGCTGGTGTTCCCACAATGTAACTATCATATAGAATAGTGTAGCAACACTGCTGGTGTTCCCACAATGTAACTGTCATAAAGAATAGTGTAGCAACACTGCTGGTGTTCCCACAATGTAACTATAATAACGCAGTATGACACTGCTGATATACCCACTTTTAAAAGAAGTCTGACAGACATACCGAGAAAAGCCGACGTCTCCGGGTGATGACAGGGAAGTCACTTCCCTCTTGCTCCATGCTGAAGACTGACATCTTGTGTTATCAGTATCCAGGGTAATTCATGTTTTGACGCCAGTGATATTCACTCATTTCCCAGTGGTTTGTTTTGTTTTAACTTGATTGCACATTATACATATTTCACTACACCTCACATGCGAACATAAGAGTTAAATTCACCGAATTTAAATGAGCACTTACTTTTCTACACAGCAACAGCCTGGTTGATCAATCAAGGATATTTGCTCTTAAGACTATCACTGATAAGTCTCGCAACTAGTCGATATAGTTCACCATGTTTGACAAACTTTCTCACCTACTTTTATATTTTTTTTTTTCAGGGCGAGATCAGGCCCTGATTCACGGGGAGGCCTGGTCATGGACCGGTCCGCGGGGGCGTTGATCCCCGGAATACCCTCGAGGTAGACTCCAGGTAGGTAGAGAAACCAGCCACGGGTGGTAGCCACCTGTGACGTTAACCTACACAAATTTCTCAACTGTTATTGCTGGTGACAAAGCACGACACTTCTGAAAAGTTAGGTTTTCCTTCCTGGCACTCGCACACTTAACCATGAATTTCATGGTAAACTGGGTGTGGAGTTTACATTTTTCTTAATTCTAGTTACACGCCATATATACAAGAACAGTAGAGAGGTGGAAGATTCCTATGGTAAGTTCTGTCTCTCCTAGCAGGATTCTTGTAGAGGACGGTACTGTCAGTGTAGCAAGCTCTCTGTCCTTCAAGGACTCTTGTAGAGGACGGTACTGTCAGTGTAGCAAGCTCTCTGTCCCTCAAGGACTCTTGGAGAGGAAGGTCTGGCAAGCTCCGTCTTTCTTTAAAGGATTCTAGTATAGAATGTAACTATGGGTGTAGCAAGCTCTCTCTCTCTCTTACAAGCCTCTAGAAGAGGACCAAACTGCAAGTGTAGCTCCTTGTCTCTCCTAGAAGGACTCTAGGAGAGAACGGAACTATTGTTAGGATACCTCAATGGATAATCTTGATTATGTGTCACGTGTACTGGGATTCCTTCACTAGTCACTCACACACCTTTTCTTGGCTGCCCTGGGAACGTGACTCCGAGCAGTGAGAAATGACGGGAGACAAGGAGGAGAATACACAAGTATTATTCCTCTTCTTTAGGTGGCTAATACTCATAAGATATTCACTTCACAACTCTTCTTTCGCTTCTTGATACTTGTCGGATATTCACTTCTCTACGAATCTTCTTTACAAGTGGGTAGTGCTTGAATTATTACCAAGGGAATATCAGACAAGTCTCTGAGACGATATCCAGAAGCTCTGATAGATAGTGTTGAATTTGCTGGATGTGTTCGCGTGTTAAGGCGATTAATAAACATGACGCTGCAAAAGAGGGGGAATATTACTACGTATATGAGGCTTTTAAGCCCTTATGAGTCATACACTCAGAGGTAGAGGCTCGAGCCACCGTCACGTTCTGTAGAGCAGACGGTACGTTGTATACAAGTTGGGGTTGTGTCTGGAAACTCCCTCCCTGGCCCAGTGCCTACTCAAAACACGTGTCTAGTGCCTGCCTGCAGCAGGCTAGGGAGAGTGCCAGAGCCACAGTGAGTGGCGGCACCATCGTAGTTTCCCATATCTCACTCCTACCGGGGGAGGGAAGGTTGCCATACTGCGCCGCCCACACTCGCTACGTGGCCTCCTGCAGGGTGACTGCGCCGTGGGTGCCACACTGCGCACCACTCACCACCACCACCACCTGATGCGCGCGCACATTCACATTACAACCAGTACATAACGCATAACACATCACTGAAACATCACACTTACGATAACATAATATCCACGGTACAGGTCACTTATAATACATCACTATATCATCACATTTCTGATAATGGGGCATCTACTAAGAGGTTTTGTACAATAGGGATGATCAATCAAGTCCACGGTGAGAGAAACGTCTCCCCAATAAAACTGATAAAACTGAGTATACACGCATCATTAATATTATGATCTGTCTGGTTACCTAAGACCGATTATACTACCAAGATAAAAGACTTTGCTCTATCTTATTCCAGTACACTTCAAGACAGTGTAGCAACACCGCTGGTGTTCCCACAATGTAACTATCACATATAATAGTGTAGCAACACTGCTGGTGTTCCCACAATGTAACTATCACATATAATAGTGTAGCAACACTGCTGGTGTTCCCACAATGTAACTATCACATATAATAGTGTAGCAACACTGCTGGTGTTCCCACAATGTAACTATCACATATAATAGTGTAGCAACACTGCTGGTGTTCCCACAATGTAACTATCACATATAATAGTGTAGCAACACTGCTGGTGTTCCCACAATGTAACTATCACATATAATAGTGTAGCAACACTGCTGGTGTTCCCACAATGTAACTATCATAGAATAGTGTAGCAACACTGCTGGTGTTCCCACAATATAACTATCACACAGAACAGTGTAGCAACACTGCTGGTGTTCCCACAATATAACTATCACACAGAACAGTGTAGCAACACTGCTGGTGTTCCCACAATATAACTATCATACAGAACAGTGTAGCAACACTGCTGTTCCCACAATATAACTATCATACAGAACAGTGTAGCAACACTGCTGGTGTTCCCACAATATAGCTATTACACAGAACAGTGTAGCAACACTGCTGATGTTCCCACAATATAACTATCATACAGAACAGTGTAGCAACACTGCTGTTCCCACAATATAACTATCACACAGAACAGTGTAGCAACACTGCTGGTGTTCCCACAATATAACTATCACACAGAACAGTGTAGCAACACTGCTGGTGTTCCCACAATATAACTATTACACAGAACAGTGTAGCAACACTGCTGGTGTTAACACAATATAACTATCATACAGAACAGTGTAGCAACACTGCTGTTCCCACAATATATCATACAGAACAGTGTAGCAACACTGCTGGTGTCGCCACAATATAACTATCACACAGAACAGTGTAGCAACACTGCTGGTGTTCCCACAATATATCATACAGAACAGTGTAGCAACACTGCTGGTGTTCCAACAATATAACTATAATACAGAATAGTGTAGCAACACTGCTGGTGTTCCCACAATATAACTATCATACAGAACAGTGTAGCAACACTGCTGGTGTTCCCACAATATACCTATAATACAGAACAGTGTAGCAACACTGCTGGTGTTCCCACAATATACCTATAATACAGAACAGTGTAGCAACACTGCTGGTGTTCCCACAATATAACTATAATACAGAACAGTGTAGCAACACTGCTGGTGTTCCCACAATATAACTATCACACAGAACAGTGTAGCAACACTGCTGGTGTTCCCACAATATAACTATCACACAGAACAGTGTAGCAACACTGCTGGTGTTCCCACCATGCTGTCATGACACTTATCCAGATTCTAAAATATTTCAAGCCATGTAAAATAAAAATTTCTTCAAAGCCAGACTTTAATATGTCAGTAACTTCCTCTTCCCAAAAGTCTGGGTCTAAGTCTAGACATTCACCCCAGACTATCTAAGGAAAGGAAAGGTGGGAGAAAGAGGGAGGGAAGGAGGGAGGGAGGATTGAAGGATGCTGCAGATGCCTGACCATTCATCTCCCTCCCACTAACATTAGTTCCACTAAGTCTACACCTCCTGGTGACTTACATTGTTTCCAACCTCCTATAACTTCCACATTTAACCACAATGAATATTGGCACAAGAATGAGTTGTTAGAGAAGTGTGAAACCCAGCTGACCTGATCATGAGTTAGCATGGATTAGTTGTGAAACGTTCCAGCTATGGTATTGTGGCTCACGAAATCGTAATGACAAGATTGCAAACCATACCACGGGTGGGGATAGAACCCGTGGTCAGTCAAAACTCCAGGCCGACGCGTTAGCCATTGGGCCAGCTGGCTATAATAAGATTCAACCAACTAGGTATATTATACACCATAGGAAGATTAGCAATACCATCCCGTGGTATGGGATGGTATTGTGGGTTAGTTGTGAATTGTTCCATGCATGATTTTGTGGGTTAGTTGTGTAATGTTATGGCCATGGTATTGCGGGTTAGTTATAAAACGTTCCAGCCAAGGTATTGTGGGTTAGTTATGAATTATTCCAGCCAAGGTATTGTGGATTAGTTGTGAATTATTGTTATCGTATTGTGACTTTTATTCTGCTGTGAGAGAAGTAATTAACGACAGCACCCCAGGTATTAGTCTTGTCATAAGCATATTTTAAGTTGGGTACAAGTCATCAACTTAACAAGGCTGTACACAGGGCGAAACATTACTGAGCTAACGTTCCTTCATGTTGCCAGACAGATGGTTGAGAGAAACATACGACAGGTGGTCAGTAGACAGCAACCGTAAATGGTTGAGAAATTGTTTGCCACCACAACACTCTCATTCAACCTTCGATAGGTTGCCAATGATCAACCAGCTTGTTGCTGGCCCTGGGCCAGGTGTGTCTAATGTTTGCCTGGTCAACCAAGCCACTGACCCACATATCCATCACAGTCTGGTTGATCTGGCACTTGGAGATACTTGTCCAGTTTCCACTTAAAAACTTCTACACTTGTCTTCTGGTAAGATGTTCAACTGTCTGGGGCCACGGATGTTGACACAATGTTCTCTTACTATGCCCACGGTGCCCCTATTTTTCACTGGGTTTATCGGTAGTGTGCAAAACATTCATTAAAGAAAATGATGGAAGACCTTTAAACAACAACAAACAAGAAAACACTGCAGTTCCCAGACTGACGTGTCATTCATTTCGACTCGTAACTTGAGCACACTTGCGTGCAACACACGGAGCTGAGTGCGCACACGCAACACAATCATCTTATTTTCAGTCTGTTTCAAAACGTTATTTTGATTATCATCATCACGGGGGAAGCGCTAAAGCAGCAGGAGTCACAGCGTTGAAACAACATTGAGAAACAACACTGTGACCTGATCCGCAGGGTCACATTCTGTGAGGTTCCATAATCAAGAGGGAACCATGGGCAGTGTAAGAACCTTGTGGTGAAGGTTCACTAATTATCGTAGTTACACTCAACTCCGGCAGTTTCTGGCCTTCGATGTGAAAACTTTTTTTTTCTGTACTGTCAGAAACAACTGACACAACCAGTGGAGTGTCAGGCACTACCACCAGCTGCACCAGCTTCAGGACGCAGCACCGTCAAGCTGTGTGCAAGACACGGCACCGTGTACGAGGCACGACACCGTGTACAAGGCACGACACTCTACAGCCACGCATAGCTAAACCAGGCGAGACAGATTCAGACACAGACAGACACATGGCTAGACTACACGAGCACCAACACCAGACTGACACTATCTCACCACTGACATCCGTCCACACATAACGAACACGCACGCACGCACGCACGCATGAATACAATACAGTGCATGTTTGTTAGTGTTTCCGGGGATCATCGCCCCCTAGAACAGCTCTCAGACCACACCTCAATAACCGGAAACGAAGAATTTTACACACACACACACACACACACACACACATATATACACACACACACACACACACACACACACACACACACACACACACACACACACACACATATACACACACACACACACACACACACACACACACACACACACATGATGAGAAGAATTCACTCGATCGAAGACCAGGCAGAACTACAAAGGGTTCTTGGACAGGCTGCAGACCTGGTTCAGCAATTGGCTCCTGGAGTTCAATCCCACCAAGTGCAAAGTCATGAAGATTGGGGAAGGGCAAAGAAGACCACAGACGGAGTACAGTCTAGGGGGCCAGAGACTACAAACCTCACTTAAGGAAAAAGATCTTGGGGTGAGTATAACACCAGGCACATCTCCTGAAGCGCACATCAACCAAATAACTGCTGCAGCATATGGGCGCCTAGCAAACCTCAGAACAGCATTCCGACATCTTAATAAGGAATCATTCAGGACCCTGTACACCGTGTACGTTAGGCCCATATTGGAGTATGCGGCACCAGTTTGGAACCCACACCTAGCCAAGCACGTAAAGAAACTAGAGAAAGTGCAAAGGATTGCAACAAGACTAGTCCCAGAGCTAAGAGGTATGTCCTACGAGGATAGGTTAAGGGAAATCAACCTGACGACAATGGAGGACAGGAGAGATAGGGAGGACATGATAACGACATACAAAATACTGAGAGGAATTGACAAGGTGGACAAAGACAGGATGTTCCAGAGATTGGACACAGTAACAAGGGGACACAGTTGGAAGTAAGCAGAGGTATGATAAAGCTCACGGTTCAGGGAGAGTGACCTAGTAGCGACCAGTGAAGAGGCGGGGCCAGGAGCTTGGACTCGACCCCCGCAACCTCAACTAGGTGAGTACACTGTGGAAATAAATGGTATAAAATACCGACACAATGGCAATATAAACACAAATGCAGTATAATGTGATCCTTTATTGACTACGTTTCGCCCACACAGTGGGGTTTTTCAAGTCACAAACAGAACTACCTGGGGTGGAAGGAACGCGAGTATTTATAGTCCGGCTGAGGTCAGGTGAAGAATGCTGCATCTGATGATGTACCGAGTTGGGTTGTAGACTCTACAACCCAACTCGGTACATCATCAGATGCAGCATTCTTCACCTGACCTCAGCCGGACTATAAATACTCGCGTTCCTTCCACCCCAGGTAGTTCTGTTTGTGACTTGAAAAAGCCCACTGTGTGGGCGAAACGTAGTCAATAAAGGATCACATTATACTGCATTTGTGTTTATATTGCCATAGGTGAGTACACACACACAAAGTCTCTAATACGTATGGATGAATGCTTAATTACGCAAAACAGCAGAGTTTATTGGTCAGTGTTACTCGTGCTGTGAGTGAACTTAAGTACCGATCAATCAGGTTGTTGGTGTTGGCGGCTGGCTGGCCCACATATTCATCACAGCCTGGTTGATCTGGCAGCTGGTCCATGGAGGTAGTAATGTAGGTTCCTCACCGAGACGCCTACACATGTAACAGTGTGGTGAACACACAAATTAAGCCACCATAACACACAGTACTGGTGTTAATATTGAGTACATCCTGACGTGTTGAATTACAGCTGCTCTCTTCTCTCTCCTGTCTCTCTCTCTCTTCTCTCTCTCTCTCTCTCTCCTCACTTACTTCTCCTCTCTTCCTCTCCTCTCTCTTCTCTTCTCTCTTCTCTCTCCCCTCTCTCTCTCTCTCTCTCTCTCTCTCTCTCTCTCTCTCCACCACACACACACACACACACACCACACACACCCACACACACACACACACACACACACACACTTATCAACAGTCACCTTATCAGTTATCACTAGTTATTTTTACCTGCGCCTGCACACACACACTTCAGTCAATCCCTGCACCCAGAATGTCTCCCCCAGCAACACTGGTACTCACCTGGTTGTCTTCGTAGGGGTCGAGTCACCGCCTATTGGCGTTTATACACCGACTTTACATATTATTTTATATTGGAAGTCAGAAATCAGTAGTCTTAGAACTGTGTACTTGCCTAGTTCTTCCTCTAGGGGTCGATTCACAGCTTTTGGCACAGCCTCTTAATTCTTGTCAAGCAGTTTCACTGACTTGTGACCACCAAGACCAGATCATACCTGCTCTTGAAACTGTGTATAATGTTTGCCCCCCCCCCCACTAACAGGAAACACAATAAGTATCAGGGGCCCAAGATTATTCAACAGCCTCCCACTTGCCCTAAGGGGAATTACCAACAGACTCCTGGCTGCCTTCAAGACGGAGCTGGAGAGATACTTAAAAGTCGGTGCCGGACCAGCCAGGCTGGTCCACCAGGAGGCCTGGTCATGGACCGGGCCGTGGAGGCGTTGATCCCCGGAATCCCCTCCAGGTAGACCTCTTTTAGTGTCTTCTGCTACTGAAGCTTCTGCTACTGAAGCTGCTGCTACTGAAGCTGCTGTTACTGAAGCTTCTGCTACTGAAGCTTCTGCTACCGAAGCTTCTGCTACTGAAGCTGCTGCTACCGAAGCTTCTGCTACTGAAGCTTCTGCTACCGAAGCTTCTGCTACTGAAGCTGCTGCTACCGAAGCTTCTGCTACTGAAGCTGCTGCTACTGACGTTGCTATTTCCGCTGTTGTTACTTGTGCTGATGTTACGTTTATCGCTTCTACTCCTGCTCCTTTCCCTGCTTTTGTTGCTTCTGTTACTGCTGCTCCTACTTCTGCTGCTCCTACTTCTGCTTTTCTAGTGCATCAAATTTCTCCTTCATTTCCTATCTGTAGTGGTGCTGCTGCCACCCATGCCTGCTACCCATGCCTGCCACCCATGCCTGCCACCCATGCTGCTACCATGTCGCTGCACCCATGCCTGCCACCCATTGCCTGCTACCCATTCCTGCCACCCATGCCTGCCACCCATGCCTGCCACCCATGCCTGCCACCCTGCCTGCTACCCATGCCTGCCACCCATGCCTGCCACCCAGCCTGCTACCCATGCCTGCCAACCCATGCCTGCCACCCATGCCTGCCACCCATGCCTGCTACCCGTGCCTGCCACCCATGCCTGCCACCCATGCCTGCCACCCAAGCTGCTACCCATGCCTGCCACCCATGCCTGCCACCCATGCCGCCACCCATGCCTGCCACCCATGCCTGCCACCCATGCCTGCCACCCGTGCCTGCCACCCATGCCTGCCACCCGTGCCTGCCACCCATGCCTGCCACCCATGCCTGCTACCCATGCCTGCCACCCATGCCTGCTACCCATGCCTGCTACCCATGCCTGCCACCCATGCCTGCCACCCATGCCTGCCACCCATGCCTGCTACCCATGCCTGCCACCCATGCCTGCCACCCATGCCTGCCACCCATGCCTGCCACCCATGCCTGCCACCCATGCCTGCTACCCGTGCCTGCCACCCATGCCTGCCACCCATGCCTGCCACCCATGCCTGCCACCCATGCCTGCTACCCATGCCTGCTACCCATGCTTGCCACCCGTGTCCGACACCCATGCTTGCCACCCGTGCCTGATACCCATGCTTGCCACCCATGCTTGCCACCCGTGTCTGACACCCATGCTTGCCACCCGTGCCTGATACCCATGCTTGCCATCCGAGCCTGACACCCATGCTTTGCCACCCGTGCCTGATACCCATGCTTGCCACCCGTGCCTGACACCCATGCTTGCCACCCGTGCCTGACACCCATGCTTGCCACCCGTGCCTGACACCCATGCTTGCCACCCGTGCCTGACACCCATGCTTGCCATCCGTGCCTGACACCCATGCTTGCCATCCGTGCCTGACACCCATGCTTGCCACCCGTGCCTGGTACCCGTGCCTGGCACCCATGCTTGCCACCCGTGCCTGGCACCCATGCTTGCCACCCGTGCCTGACACCCATGCTTGCCACCCGTGCCTGACACCCCTGTCTGCCATCCGTGCCTGACACCCATGCTTGCCACCGGTGCCTGACACCCATGCTTGCCACCCGTGCCTGACACCCATGCTTGACACCCGTGCCTGACACCCATGCTTGCCACCCGTGCCTGACACCCATGCTTGCCACCCGTGCCTGACATCCATGCTTGCCACCAGTGCCTGACACCCATGCTTGTCACCCGTGCCTGACACCCATCCTTGCCACCCGTGCCCGACATCCCTGCTTGCCACCCGTGCCTGACACCCATGCTTGCCACCCGTGCCTGACACCCCTGTCTGCCATCCGTGCCTGGCACCCATGCTTGCCACTCGTGCCTGACACCCATGCTTGCCACCCGTGCCTGACACCCATGCTTGCCACCCGTGCCTGACATCCATGCTTGCCACCAGTGCCTGACACCCATGCTTGCCACCCGTGCCTGACACCCATGCTTGCCACCCGTGCCCGACATCCATGCTTGCCACCCGTGCCTGACACCCATGCTTGCCACCCGTGCCTGACATCCATGCTTGCCACCCGTGCCTGACACCCGTGCCTGACACCCATGCTTGCCACCCGTGCCTGACATCCATGCTTGCCACCCGTGCCTGACACCCATGCTTGCCACCCGTGCCTGACACCATGCTTGCCACCCGTGCCTGACACCCATGCTTGCCACCCGTGCCTGACATCCATGCTTGCCACCCGTGCCTGACATCCATGCTTGCCACCCGTGCCTGACATCCATGCTTGCCACCCGTGCCTGACACCCATGCTTGCCACCCGTGCCTGACATCCATGCTTGCCACCCGTGCCTGACACCCATGCTTGCCACCCGTGCCTGACACCCATGCTTGCCACCCG